TTAATGGTGGGAGTAATAGCATCAGAATTTGATTTCATGGATGATGATGGCCAGTTCCTGTGAGGTAGTGGTCAGACGTACCTCTTGTCTTCCAACCTTTTTTGTTGTCGTTGTTTGTTTAACAATTCTGGTATGTGATCCTTCCCACAGCATTCTCTGCTGGGTTAAAAAAATTGTTGCATTGACCACTCAGAACTTACAAACTATACTTATAGTTAAGTGGTTTATTAAGTGGTACAATTTGGGGTGAGGATTATTCAAAGTTTCAATCCAGGACAGTTTTCTTAGCTCCTCTAAGCCATGCAGGACTTCTCTTCGCTCCCTAAAGTCAGGCCCTTACTTGGCCCTTACGACATGCTTCTCTTAGCCCCTTGAGGAGAAGCACTACTTTTAGCCATGCCTTCTCTCATTGCCTGCAGTGTGACAGCCTTTGAGCAATATTATATCTCTTTTAGAAAGTTCCTTGCCTCATTTCTCTGTGCTGCTTTTCTCTTCTCTCTTCCTTTTCTCCTTCTGTCTTCTGCTTTCTCCTTTTTTCTGTCTGAAAAACTTCTGTCCCCACAGAACAGACTGCATGTAAATATAATTCCTTGTCAGTGTTAAGATATGGGCTTTCTGAGGGAGGACCCATAAAATGACCAGTCCCCTCTTGGTAGGCCACAGACATTTCTTCTATGTAGTTGGCTGTAGAAACCTTATTTGCATGCCACAACAATCCATCTGTGCAAGGTGCATTTAATCACAAAACAGGCTGCAGCCAAGAACCATACAAAAAATACCAAACTACAGGCTATTTATAATTTACCTAGAAAGTACCTATCAACCTGGACTACAGTAACAAACTTTGGGGTAGGAAACTAGTGGAAAGGCAACTCTTGAGGGTTTAGTGGAGAAATCTTTCAAGCTCTTTTCCAAAGAACCAAATCGAAAGGCAATGTAAAGGAACTCATTTTATCTATTCTAGATATTTCACTTAAGTGAAATTATAAAATATTTTGTTCATTTCTGTGTGACCTATTTCACTCAGCATCACTATGGTTGATAGTTTGCCCATGTTGTAGCATGTGTCGGAGTTCATTTTCTTTAAGAATAAATGTATATATCACATTTTGTTTATCCATACATCTGTTGATAGATGCTTTTTTCTTTTCATTACATAAAGTTATAAACTAAAAGTAAATACATCTTTTGGCTTTGTCAGTTTGTATACTCTGTTTCTAGCAACTTTTTTCATTCTTTTTTATTACTTCAAGGTGTCATACTATCTCATTTATTACTGTTTGAATTTGTATTTTGAAACATTAGAAATCTTTATTTTAAAAACTGATTTTTTTTAATAAATACATATTCTATATATCATATTTAAAAAACCCCAAAAAAACAAAATACCATTGCCAATGAGTTGGATCTGACTCACAGTGACCCCTCCTTGGGTTTCTAAGGCAATATCACTATGGAAATAGATTGCCCAATCTTCCTTCTGAGGAGTGATTGGTGGGTTTGAAGTTCCAGCCTTCTGGTTAGAAGTCACATGCCTTAAGCACTATGCTGTGAGAGCTCCTATGTGTAATATATGTTATGTTGTTATGTGCTGTCAAGTCGGATCTGACTCATAGTGACCCCTCCTTGGGTTGCCGAGGCAGTATCACTACGGAAGTAGATTGCCCAACCTTCCTTCCGATATAAAATATAATTATATTGTTTGCCATTTCAGTGCTTTTTATGTATAAAATTCAGTGACATGAATTACATTCATCAAGGTATGCAACTATTACCACTCCTTATTTTCACATTTCATTTAACTGAAGCTCAATGCCTAATAAGCAGTGACTCACAAATTTCCCTTCCCTGATATCCTGGTACCACTAATAAACTTTGGCTTCTAAATAATTGCCTAGTTTATATATTTCACTTGTGGTATTGTAGCTGGGCCCTTCTGCTTCTCAGAGGTTAGCCCCATCATGTTCTTGCCTTCTACTTACCAAGAATGGCCAGGAGAAGCTCAGGCTTCCCACATGAACAAAATTTTATTAAAAAAGAAAAAGTAGGTAGAGATAAAGAGGTTACCCAGAACACTAGCCTTTATCTCCCCAGACAAAGAGTTTCCTGGGTTTTATAAAGGCTTTTGAGCAGGTAGAAGTAAAAAGATTGGGTTAGGTGCATACACGGGGTGGTTCAAGATAGAATCAGTTGTATTGGCTTAATGGCATGTGTTTGATTGTGGGCAGGTGCTTCTGTGTTAGATCAAACTGTCTTGCCTCCAAAACAGCTTGCAAAAGCATTAAAGGACATCTAGGCAAGGTTGTTTGTTCTTTACCTACAGTTCCAGGATGTAACTGACTGCTAAGCTTGGTTTGTGACTTGAGCGTTCATTTAACCTTTTGGGTCCTGCTGCCATCTATCTGTCACACTGCTCCCTGAGAGGTTTTTACTCACAATTATGGAAGACATCGACAGAAGTCTCTTTCTTCTGTTCTCTCAGGTTGAGAAGTGCCAAGTGTGTTCTTCTCTGTTGGTTTTCTAACTCCAGGTGTTTGCACATTTCATTATAATTGACTTTGTCGTCTTGAGGTACTCTTTGAAATCCTCTGTTCAGCTCTTTTATGTTTTCATTTCTTCCATTTGCTTTATCTACTCTTTGTTCAAGAGCAAGTTACAGAGTCTCTTCTGACATCCATTTTGGTCTTTTTTTCCTTTCTTTGCTTTTGAATGACTTCTTGCTTTCTTCATGGATGATGTTCTCTGGTTTTTGGTCATTAGTGTTCAGTGCATTAAATCTGTTCTTTAGATGGTCTCTAAATTCTGGAAGGATATAATCAAGGTCATATTTTGGCTCTCATAGACTTGTTT